TAGCACCAGAGATGGTCCTGTAGACTCTGCTCCAGTCACTATGTTTCTCAAGGAGTGTGGAGCAGCACAGACCCGGAACCTCTCAAAAACCCCTAGGCTGGTCTCAAATTTACAGATGGCTTGCTTCTGCCCAAATGCACCACGCCCAGCCTACCATTCAGTCCTTTTATGAAGCAGCTTATTAGTAGCCACAAGAAATTAAAAAAATATTTTAAAATATACTTGGATAAACTTGTAGCATTTTAAAATCAGACTGGAAAGATTTTATGGCCGGCAGAGGAGAGCAGAAGCAGAGTTTGAAAGGAGGAGTTACAATAAGACCACACACTGGCCCTGGTCCTGGGTCCTTTCCGCAGAAAAAGATGCTTCCCAACATGTCTAGACAGTCCACATGGATCCAACAAGCTAGGAAGACTCCAGCACCACTTGGAATCATTCATAAAAATTCAAAAATAGATAACCACCTTGGGCCTCCTTTTTGGTGAGTGGCAAACTGGGTGTTGGTGTTACTTCAAAGACCTGATCATGGAGTTGTGTTTTAGAGGCATATCTTTCTCCCTCCTTCATTCAAAACACATTCACTTTAATAGGTAGTGCACTTGAATCAGAATAAGGTAGGAAAGGCCAATTATTAGGTACTGATTGACTTAAAGCACTGCTTGCACTGCTCATTTCTAAGCAGGATTTCATTTGCTTCCTGGAACAGAATGAGCCTGGAAAGACAGCTACAACAATGGGTCATTGCCTTAACAACCTGCTGACTGCCTGTGTGCTGCTGCTCTCCTGACTGTCCTACCTATGGCTTTAGAGTACAAAAGGGCGCAACTAGAGCAGAGGCTGAGGCCTCCCAGGAACGACCCTAGCTTCAGTCCACCATGATTTCTCTTTCCCACTCGCACTGGTGTTGGCGTGTTTATTCCACAAAGATTCCTGCAACACACTCCCCCAAATAAGTTCCTGTATTCTGAACCTAAGCCATTAGATTGCCCAGAGACACGTGTCTCAAGTGGCTTGAATACCCTTCTGGAGATGTTCTAGTCAGGAGCCAACAGTTACCACATAGGATCTTTAAAAAGTTGCTCTGATCACTGACAAAAGGTCTTCAGCAAAGGCATGAGTGACCAAAGCTTTAATCTACTGTTTCAGAGTTTTCTGTTTTGTCTTTCTTTTTAAAGAAACAATCTATTCAAAAATGTCTGTGTGAGGGATGAGGGAGACCACTGCTTCTTTTCCTGCTGGACCGAGCACAGCAGTTTTTGCATCTTTCCCAGGGCAACAGTAGCCTCTGCCATAGGACTCACACCCAATAGGCTCCCAGGGAGGCGACGGTGGAGCTGAGGGGACAGCCAACCCTTAAAGAGCAGCCAGAGAATGTTTCCTAAATGAATACCAATCTGCTGCAAATAATGAACAGTCATCAATACTTTAGGTTTTCAGGCTTGCCATTTTTCTATCAAAAGGCATTCCTCTCTTCCAGGTGTTAGACTACCTGGGTGTCAAATCTTAGCAAAGTAGTTTTATAGGGAAAGGACTTTTATAAAGCTGTTGTTGGCTGAGAAAGCAGAGGCTGTGTGACTGTCTGGCTGTGTGTCCCAGGGAGCTCCTTTCCTGTCTGACAGCGGCTGCCACTCTGGCGGGCTGGTTACAAGAGCAATGCACACTCTGAAAAGACTTGCTCCAATGCACAGCTGAGCTCAAGCTCATCCTGAGTTTACTTTGAAAATATAGCAGAGCTGGCTTTGCTGGTGCAAACCTTTACTCTCAACACTCAGGAGGCAGAGGAGGATGGATCCATCTCTATTTGTTATTCAACAGTCTTGTCATCAAAGCCAGTTCCAGGACAGTCAGAGCTACATAGAGAGACTTTGATTCAAATAACAAAACAAATACAGCAAAAACTGGCCCATGATGAGTATTTGCTTAGCACGCACATACCCCTGGCCTCTGCATTACATATATTCCTTCTTCTCCTTCCTCTCTCCCCTCCCTCCCTCCCTCCCTCCATCTCTCATATACACACACCCCAAAGACAGTGATAAAAAAAAAGTGTGAAAAAAACAGAGGCAAAATTTGATGACACTGAGATTGTCCTTAAATTTGTTTAATGATTAAGCAAAAATCTTAATTTAGATTTAATTAAAGAAAAATATATAAACTTAAAAATCTCAAGGACTAGGGAGATAGCTCAGTTAACAAGTGCTTGCCACACATGATAAGGACCTGATTTTAGTGTCTGGTAAGCCCCAGGGCCTAGTGAGAAACCCTGTCTCAAGTCCTGATTCCACTTCACCTTGACAGTAAATGAAAGTTTTGTTTCTAGCAAAGTACATACATATAAAACACATTTACCTCATATGGTGACTTTTCTGGCTTTCCCTCAATGTCACCTAAAGATGATTAGATAAACTCAGTGAACTTGGAATAACGCATCAGATGGTGTTTTAAGCTAACTCTTCTTTTAGCAAATGAGACAAAATAACTCTTTAAAGGCTAAAAGAGAAGAGAAAAATGTGGCCTGATCATGCCTGCATATTCTAAGATCTGGGAAATAACAAGAAAACAAAAAAGAAACAAATAAAAAATGGAGTCTTTTCATAGTAACTGTGAAATATTTATCAATTGAGACCCTTCCTATTTTATTTGAAATCATTTTAAAAATATGTAAAAAATATGAGATTTAAGAATTCTTCCTATTAAAAGTTTTAGTATTTACAAAATAAGGTTGGACTGTAGTCAGGGTAACTAAGTTGGAGAAAGCTAACAACAGGTGTGTGAGGTAAAGAATTCTCCTACAGCTCACAGTCCTGTGGAACTCTGCCCCTGTGGCAAGAAAAAGCTCCTGCAGATTTTCTTGGGATTCTTCCAGGAAAAGTATGAGCCAAGGAATCTCTTCCCATGTTTCATTACCACAGAAGTCTTCGTTTTTTAAAACTAAATTCCCACAACTTGATTTTGGGGCTTTTGTCAGACACAGCATGTCTGGCCAACTGCTGAAGACCATTCCTCCCTCTGCAATTCTGAAGGAGACGAATCCCAAGCTCTCAGCAATGTCCATGAGTGGCACAACAGTTGGCTGCAGCCTTAAGCCTACTGCTGGCAGTTTGTCTACGTCTCAAAGCACTTCATATTCAGGTAGTCTGGTCTCCCAAATCCCAGAAGACATAGAGAAAACCAGTGTCAGGGGCTTCTTAGTATTGTAAAAGCATTGCTGCTTCGTTATCCTGGTCCTACAGACTTCTTCCCCCACCCCAGGCCTTCAACTGTTCTAAAGTAAACATGTGTTCTAACATAAACACACCCCAAATTGATTGTGCTGTTTCTGTGAACTTCTCTTTTCTGATAATTTATTAGTCTGTTACAAAGTGAATTAGATGCCCCCAGACTATATTGTTTTCTAGTAAATTTACTGAATGTGACTCCATTTTGAGATGAGTACTGAAGAAACATGAGTGACAGTCTGATCCAACAGGTGTGGGCGTCCTGTGAGAGACTCCAGGGCTGCAAGTGTCTTGAGGAAGACACGTGAGGCGACTACAAGCAGTGGCCATCCACAAGCCAGACACAATGCTAATGTCTCAGTCTTCAACTCCAGCCTCAGCCGCAGCCCTGTGAAAGAAAAGTTCTGTTGGCTAAGACACCCTACTTGTGGTGCTTTGCTATGGCAGCCCTAGTAAAATATACATAGTTCTTGTCCACTATCCAATATTCAGACAAGGTTGCGTTCCCTACACAACACAACCTTTTAGTATGAAGCAAAATGCAACATTTGAGAGAAATTGCCTGTTTAAATTTGAAATGATGGAAACATGAGATGAATGTATGGGAACTAGAGAAAGGCAATTTAGTAAAAAGACATACGGCTCAAAAACAGATGAAATGGTTCCATCTGCTTAAAAAAAATTATTTCATGTCTGGTATAAAATTTAGCATTTAATGGATTCTGCTATAGTTGGTAAACACATTTTATATTTTTCAAAGGTTTAAATTGGTCGATAATATATTTTAAAATTATCAATACACAATTTGACGAGTCATTGTGCTATTTTACCACTCAATCAAACAGGGGCAATAAACAAACAGTTGAAATTATACTTGAGAAAAGCAACCAAAAGCTGCCATGAAGGTACTCAGTGCTCTGTCTAACTCACATTCCCACTTCTCACTATGCTCAGGCATTTCTTGGGGTATTTTACAGTGTGGCAACACATGACAACCACTTCGTATCCCAATTTTTCCTTCCACATGCTAGGAGCTCTGTCAGTCTGCCACTCTCAGAATGGCGATGTGTGGCTTGTCATCTCAGACCTTGTCAGTGGTTTAGCCACATTAAATGCACCTCCTCTACAGATAAGGCCCTGCTTTTACATCACACAGAAGCCCATGAGTATAGCTGATTCTTCCTGCCTTTGTTCTCAGAAGTTCCGAAAGTGTATTCCAAGGGCAGATGACAAGCTATAAACCTCTGACAGACTCTAGCCAACGGCTTCCCTGAGCAGAAGTGACGGGGACACTGTTCACACTCCTGCCCAATAACCTCAGCACCATCTGTATTATCTCATCACTGCCCGTAAGTGAACTGTGCTAGTTTTTTCCCATGGAGAAAACATTTTCCACAATATGATTATCAGTTGAACTTTCTTTTCTACTCATTCCTACTGATCAGTCAGCCGCTCATTTGGATTTTAAAAATGAATTTGTATGAAAATCTCATGCAGTGAAAATGTTAACTGAACGCTCACCACATTGGAATTTCTCTAACATTTGTCTCATCTACATTACTTGTTTCCATTTTCACCTGGACAGTGCTCTCCTTTTATTTTTTTCCCTTTAGTGTTGGAAATAGAACCCAGGGCTTTGTGCAAACTGGACAAGCTTTTCTACTGGTGAACAGTGCCCTCAACGCTTTGTAATTCTTTAAGAGGTTTTTGCATCTGTCCCCTTCAGCTTCCTTCTTAACCTGCTATGATAACAGTAGTACACAGTGGCATTTCAGAAGTTACCTGCTGGTCATCAGGAGTCCATATACCACACGTGATCTGGCTTTCCAAGTTGATTTCAGATGACCAGTGTCTTTGCCCACTGACAGAACCAACCAAGACAAAGCCATCGCGGTATGAAATAAGAGCCTGAGTCCCATCGTGGCTCCATGTGAAGTCACTCACCTTAAAGACAAATAAAGAAGGGTCAGTTTACAGCATGAAGGGGAAAACCCTTTTCATCAAGGTCAAGGCGCATTTTAAACTCTTGTTTAAGATCAAGATGGCCTAAAGACAACACTATAAAAGAGAAGGCTACAGTAGTCAGAGATGTTACTGCAATCCTGCACTTTCTGCAAGTTGTAGGCTATCAATGAGTTCCACATCAACCTTAGCTCCAAGATAAGACCTTGTCTCAAAATCCAAACAAATGAACAAAACCAACCAATCAACCCTGCATCAAGAAAACAAAAGCAAAACAGCAGCAACAACAAAACCCACTACAGAAGCTGGGTGTGAATGGGTGGAGGTCAGCAAGACCCAGAGCTTCAGACCAGCTCTGGAGGGAGCACAGTAAAAACACCGTGTGTCAGCACTACAGGGCCTTGGTGTCCTTGACTTCATTAAGCCCCACAACTGCCATCCAAGGAAATGCCATCATTCCACCTACCGAGAACCGAGGGCACAGCGGGGTAAAGGAAGCCTTAGCCTCACAGCAGTGAACGACAGAGCCGAGTCTCATCTCAGAGATGCCTGGCTCTAGAGCTCTTGCCTTTTCCACACAGCCTCCTATACGGTTAGTAACAGGTTCTCCATCCCCATCTCTTGATCAATTACACAACCGTAAAGTTCTCCTCTTCTAATTCGCTCATACTGCTTGAGGGGAACCCTCTGATCAGAGTGAAGAGGTAGAAAACTAAGTGGAAAGCTTAGCTTGAGCACTGAGTAACTCAAATGTTATTTAGAACATGTACTCAAATGCTGTTTTTCTCCTTTAATTTTCTGTGCTGAATTACTGCTATGTTTTTTTTTCAATATTTCATTATTCTCATACCAAGTGGAGCTTAGTAGTAAAGTATTTGATAGCAATTTTGATTCCTACCACGGCAGGGGAAGGTGATATGTTTCTTTTGTCTTACGATTTTAACCATTTAACCATATCTCCACAAATCTGCAGATACAGAATTTCAAAACTATTTTTTATTATTCATAATTATATGTGCATGTGTGTCTGTCTGCGGGTCATAAAACTGGGAGCAAGCACCAAGTCCCCAACTCTGGTATCACAGGCAGTTTTAAGCTGCCTGTTGTTAGGCACTGGAACAAACAAAGCTCCTCTGATTTTGGTGACCACTGAGCCATCACTCCAGCACCCACATACAGATTTTGTTTTTCCTTTTCTCCCTCTCCCCAAGACAGAGTTTCTCTGTGTAGTCCAGCTGTCCTGAAACTTGTTCTGTGGACCAGGTGGGATTCAAACTCACAGAGATCTGCCTGCCTCTGCCTCCTCAGTGCTGGAATTAAAGGTGTGTGCTGCTGCCATCAACAACAGATACAGAATTTGATAGATGTTAGTGGACATATTTAATTGTCTTCAAATATGCATGGATTTGGGGAAGTCTGTTGTGAGACAGAGCCTTATACAGTAGTCTATGCTGGCATACGTAGTCCAGCCTGGTGGCTGTGAACTCATGGCAATCCTCATGGTCCTAAAGTATTGACATTACAAAAGTGAACTACCATGCCCTGCTCACAGGAATTTAGTAAATTTTGTGCCAAGGATAAAACCCAGGTCCTTGCCTTTCGTGAGAAGTACTTTACCAACTAAGCCGTCTCTGGGCCCCCATCTAGGTTTTTAAATGTAGAATCTGTCCAATTTTATTTTTAATTGAATTTAGTCCGTTCATATTTATTCTATTTATTGATGTATTTGATTCTGTCTCTACCACCTTAATTTACTTCTTAGTTTTTACTAATGTTTGTTCCTTTTTAACTTATTTCTCACACACACAAAATCACTAACCATATCTTTACTGTTGCTTATACTTGGAAATAGTCTTTTAAAAACTTTGTGACATTGCTAAGTATATATTACACTTAAAAAAAATAAGAAAATAAACGGCAAAGAAAAGTGCTTTTAGCTGTTTTCTCAGCAGGGCTGAAGGTTGGCACTGATTAGCAGTGTCTAGAGTGACATGGCGCTGACTTGTGGAACAGGACTTCAACAGTTGTTGGAGACACCAAAGTTGTTTCTTCAGGAAAACTCAAAACTTTGGCTTCACATCATGTTCTACCCACTTACACAAACTAGTTTCTCTTAAGAACATGAAGCTTCCAGAGACAGGATATTACACTGGGCAATAAATTTTACATTTTTCCCAAAGATCATGCTATTATCTACATGTATTTTAACTATGTATCATGAAGCAGTTCTAATAAAAAAGAGGAAAGTCTTAGAAAATGACTTTGACAAGAAGCAATGAATAATATATTATTGTTATTTATTTATAGTCACACTATTGTTTGGCTTTTAAAATTTATTCATAATCCCACACAGGGTCAAATAATAAAATATAAGGTTTCCAAAAATTCTGGCAGGAACAATGGTTTTTGAGCACGCAATGACCAAAATCTAATCCAAAATCAAATACATAATGGGTCCGTGGTGTTTCTGTCAACGCTCGCCTGTGTTGCACGGCGAGACTTCAGTATAGCCTTGGTTCTGGACTTGTAATACACATACTTGAACTGCACACAACCACTTTAATACCATGAGATACCAATGGATAGTTTCTGAAGCACCTCCTCAAATTCAAGGTTGTTAATACCTTACAAACTGGGATTTTTACTTCATATGAAAAGTTTTATTCCTTGCACAGAAACGTTCACTTCATAAAAAAAAAAGACTTCATATTTTCTACTATGATCCTTCAGCATGTAACATATGAATTATCTTTGGACCACACTGTGTTGGAATATCTGAGTTTTAAAACTGATGTTTTAGTTGTTGCCTTGAGTTTCATAAAGTCATTCCATGAATTTTGGCTTGGGCTTAGGACAGAATTTCCAATAATTTCTGAAATGGATTACATACACCTACCTCTGCAGTCATGTGCTACATATTTATGCAAAATGTCATTTTTTTCTTTTGGATTTTTCGAGACAGGGTTTCTCCATAGCTTTTTTTTGGTTCCTGTTCTGGAACTAGTGTTGTAGACCAGGCTGGCCTCTAACTCACAGAGATCCACCTGCCTCTGCCTCCCGAGTGCTGGGATTAAAGGCGTGCGCCACCACCGCCCGGCGCAAAATGTCATTTTCAGAATTGGTGATTTTAAGATCAAAATACTGATCAACTCTAAAATCTATTGAAAACAGTGTATATTCTGCAGTGTCAAATATTCAGCCAAGATTCATTCTTTTCTGTTCATTTCTTTTGATACCAGCTCTCCCTATGTACTCCCCTACTGATCAACTCTAAAATCTATTGAAAACAGTGTATATTCTGCAGTGTCAAATATTCAGCCAAGATTCATTCTTTTCTGTTCATTTCTTTTGATACCAGCTCTCCCTATGTACTCCCCTGCTGGCATGGAACTTGGTATATAGGAACTTGGTATATTGGCCTCAAACTTGGAGGAATTCTCCTGCCTCTGCCTCCCAAGCACTGGGATTATAGCTATAACCTTATCACGCCCAGCCAATATTTAACTTTTTAGAGAAAAAAAATGAACACATTCATCTCATTAGTGTTAAATTTTGCTTTATCTTTAATAAGTGAAAATAAGTTCTTGGTGGCCGCTGCACCAACATCCCTAACAACAGTATGTGTCTTAGTTGAGGTTTCTACTGCTGCAATGAGACACCGTGACCAAAATGAAAGTTGTGGAGGAAAGGGTTTATTTGGCTTACACGTCCACATGTAGTCCACCAATTAAAGAAGTCTATAGTGGCATTTCACCTGTATTTTAATTAATAAAGCTTGCCTGAGGATGAGAAAAGTAAAACAGTCACACTGGTCAGCCTTACAGACCAGGCAGCAATGACACACACCTTTAATCCCAGTAGACACACCAGTTTACCACAGAAACCATGCAGTAGTGCTGCATGCCCTTAATCCCAGAACTAGAGAGGATTATAAAACAGGAGACAGCTCTCAGTCTCATTCTCATTCTGAGATTCAAGGAGGTAAGATCACCATTTTCAGACTGAGGTTGAGGTAAGAGCCAATGACTAGCTGCTTTGCTTTTCTGGTCTTTAGGTTAAACCTAATATCTGACTCTGAGTTTTTATTAATCATGCTTCAGAGATCAAGACAGAGATTCAAACAGGGCAGGGCTGTAATAAAACAGTCCCACATGCAGGGGCCTGGAGAAGGAGCTGTGGAGAGGCCATAGAGGGTGCTGCTTATGGCTTGCTCCTCATGGCTTGCTCAGCCTGTTTTCTTAGAGAACCCAGGACCATCTGCCTACTGAGGCACCATCCACAGTGGGCTGGGTCCTTCCCCAAATCAATCGCCAATTTAAAAAATGCTCTACAGCCAGACTTACGTAGGCATCATCTCTGAGGTTCCTCCTTTCAGATGAGGCGAGTTTGTGTGTCCAGACTGGCCCAGACAGCGAGCATGTTCTTCCTAGTACTAACCTGTCTCTGACAGCAGTCTTCTCATAAGAGATGGCATCTATCTCACTGTAGTTTATGTGCATTTCCATGAACCTGCTGTTTCTCTCTATGTTTGCATTGGAGAAGTATTTATTTAGGTCTACTGTCCAGTTTTTAATTGGATCATCTTGGTTTTTAGGTTTTTTTTTTCTGTTGTGTTCCTTGCACCTCTAAATACTAACCCCTTGTCAGACATCTAGCCAGTGAACAACCCTCATTCTAAGGCTGTCACTTCCTTTGTTATGCAAAGCTTTCTGCTTTTGCTTCCTGTGGTTTGGGGGTGTTATCCAAAGAAACCAGAGCCACTGGCCATGCCACAGAAAGGTAATACAGGGTGTTCAAATGAATCGACCTATTTGGCTCCCTCAGCACAAGGCAACAAGAATGGGTGGGATTTGGGGAGCAGAAGCAGGGAGATGATGAGTTCAAGTCAGCAGAAATGTACATTCTAAGGGAGGTTGTGTCTAGAGAACCAAGGCCTAGGGGTGCACCTCAACAACTGTACTCCCCCCCAACACACCACACACACGGGGGGGGGGGGGGTACACTAGCCTGCCTGCCTCCCTCTTTTCAATCTGGAGAAATACAAATGAGAACAATCACTAAATGCTAAGAAAAAAATAGCAGAAATACCTCTTTGGGAGATTGTTTTAGGACTGCAAAAGCATATCAGTCTCACTTACTGAAGAGAATTCTCAGATTACCTGAAGCTAAGCAGCATTTTGGCCATACCACTGCTTTTCATCAGAGCCTCTCAGAGTGTGTGCCTGGCACAGGCAGTGACTAACACTGGGAAAGAATGCAGGCACTGTTCCACACCCGCTTTGAAATAACGGTCCCACCATCATTTCCTGAAACAGGAGGCGACAGCATTGCTTAGCTGTGTCAACTGCTCCAGCACTTTGGGCATGCTCTAAGCAAGGATCATCTGCGCTCCTTTAAACAGTGATGTTTTTCTTTGAGTGCCTTCAAGGATGTTCCTCCTCCAAGCTGCAGAACTGCTCTCTGCCAGACACTTTTCCAGGTGTACTGAGCACATACTGCCTTGACGAGTGAGCAGCATTATCTGTATATGGAACTCTTTTCTTGTTTGTTTTTTTTTTGTTATTGTTTTAAATAAGGTCAGCTATAACACTAACATTATCAAAAGCAAACAAGTCTCCCCTAAATGTTAGCATTCAACGATAGCAATTGCTCATAGCTTCTACGGCTTGAAGAATCAGTTTTAAACAGCAAAAGAACAGAAAAATTGCCTGTCAGGAGCTAAAGCAATACTTCAGTAGCACCTGCAGTGCTGCCAGGTGTTCTATGGTCCACACCAGCTCACTGGCCCCCAGGGATTACTTTTCTTGTCTCTATGGAAAAATCATGGAAGGGTGTGACATGTGAATCAATTTCACAGCTGCCAGATGGAGATAATGAGGGCTGGAGTGTGTGGGGTCTTTGCTGAGAAAGGATAGCACTGGGGGAATCAAGTAGTAGTGCAGCTGCTTGGCTGATAGGGTGGGTCTTTCAACAATAACAAAGTCTGGGCAGTTAGAGATATAATACGAACACATGAATTTTTGTCAAAGAGAAACAGAATGGGATGAAGGTTTTGTTTTGTCTAGAAACACTGTGGTAGAATGTTTTAGAAGAACAATGGGGTCTGGGTTCTCAGTTTAATGCCCATAAGTCTCTCTGGGCAAGTTATTGAACATTTTGTCCTGGATTTTTTTTTCTCTTCTATTAGCTGAAAATAGCAAATTTTCAGAATAAAGTTCCTATGAAGCTTGAGAATAAAAAACACATTTAAAAAAACCACTTATGGCATATATCTTAGTCATCACAACCAAAGGAACATTAAAGGTCAGCATTTAATTGGGGTGACTTTCAGAGGTCTAGTTAGTCCACCATCATCATGATGGGACATGGTAGCACACAGGCAGATGCAGGAGCAGAAGCTTCTTGTTTAGTTCGGACTCTCTGAGGCACTTCTCGTGGTCATCCTTAGCTGTCTTAGTCAATGTGCTAATGTCTATGTGATTGCTTCCATAGCCTTTTGACCAAGTGGAGAGAGTCTTATGGCTCTTTTCTGTTGTATTCTCAGTTAGTATGGTTGCCTGTTGTCATCTTCACCTCTTTTCTGATACACTGTCTTTACTCTGGGTCCAACAGTCATTCCAAGGACTTCCTGTTGAGCTATTGCTATGAGAGAACTGGGTCTTGGCTGTCTGGCTTGTCCTCCGGCTCCTACCTCCAGTGAGGCTGGGCTGTCTGGCACTCGTCCACTCTGTGTTTCAGGACACTTGTCAGAGGGAGTTCTTGTTCCTGGGAAACAGTTACTAATGAAGGTTTCTTGCACTATTTTCACTATTTCCCTGTGATGGCCTGCTTCACGGTACATTTCAAGTTTATAAAATCATCATCTGCTCCTTTCTCACCTGGTTTTTAAATAAGTTATGAGCTTCCCACATTTGAAAGATACAGACTATCCAGGTGAAATAAAATCCCGAGGAATTAAGATATTATTGTCAGTGTTGATTAGACTGAAGCCCGCGTTTTTCCTGAAAATATATTCATCAGAAGGTAAGCAGAATGGGCTCCTCTGGCACATCTGTTTCCATCATGCCTCAGAGTGAGGAAAGGAGGAAATGGCAGCTGCCCTGTGACACTAATCAGCCTTTCTGAGGGGAAACTGCAAATGCAGCCTCTGCAGGTCCATGAGAAGTGCATATTGCTTTGCAAGGTCAAGGGCATGAGTTCTGTGGTCAGAGAGCATAGGTCAGAAGCCCAGCCCTTGGTTTCTAAGTACAAGGTGGTCTCTGTGCCTATTCCTTCATCTAAAATAAGGTGAAAGTAACGACCCAGTCTCAGGGATGACTGAGAATTACATCAAAGTGTTCATAAAACATGCTTCAAACACTGCTTACACCTAGCAGATGTCGCTGCCTGTGACCTGCAGGCTACTGAGCTACTGCCTCGTAGACCCCAATACAGTGTGTACCTGCCAAGACAGAAGCCATATGGCATCTCCAAAGTCAAGTTTCAGGCATGGAGGTAAAAACTCTTCATGGATTTTGTGAGACAGATACTTTTATAATCCTGCTTATAGGGTCTCTGAAATGTTATAATTATCCATCTTGCGAAAGTTTAGGATTCTTATTTTAAATGTGTATTAATTTTGGGTTTTTTCTTTTTATGGTTTGCTTTTTGTTTTGTTTTGTTTTTATTTTTTTGAGACAGGGTGTTACTATAGCTTTGAAGCCTGTCCTGGAACTTACTCTTGTAGATCAGGCTGGCCTCAAATTTATAGAGATCCTTCTGCCTCTGCCTCCCAAGTGTTGCGATTAATAAAGGTGTGCACCACCACCGCCTGGTTGGTATTATCTTTTTGTCTGCATGTGCATGCCAAGTGCTCACAGAGACCAGAAAAGGCTGTGGGATCCCCCAAAACTGAAGTTTTAGATAGTTGGTGAGATACCATGTAGGTATTGAACCAAACCCAAGTCTTCTCTAAGACCTAGCAAGCACTCTTAACCACTTAGCATCTCTACAGTGCCATACAACTTTTTTTTCCTCTTAATTTGGTGACATTGAAGCAGCAGTGTTTTATGGGAAGAAGTCTACCATCCACTCACCTGAGCCCCACGGTCATTGACCAGTTCCACAGACCACCTGCCTTCATATTGGATCCACACAAATATTCCTCCATCTGCATCACATGTGGCCAGTTTCTGATAAGGCTCATTCCATCTCACCAGCACAACCTAGAAAAATAAGAAAATGTTAAAAACATGAAAAACAACTAGTCAGGTTCATTTCCATTAAGTATTCAGATTCCAAACTAAATAGGAAAAGTATGGACAAGACTGTGGGAATTAGTATAGGAACTGGGTAAGGCCCGCATGAAACCAGACACATGTGACATGTCCCAGAAGACAGCAGACATCTGAGCATCTGAGCAAACAAGGAAACATTACACTGATATGAAAAGAGAGGTCCCACATAAATCATCACCTGTTTTTACATAAGTACAACAATCTCCCATTTGTTGGTCCTGTGCTGGAGAGGAATAGTTTCCATAAAATTCTCCATTGTGAATCAATGTATTACTTGTTTAGTCCAGGAAGAAGAAATGAGGAAAATGTCTATCTTTTCTGGACTATCTTATTTCTGAACAGCTCAGCATCTAAACAAAGTCAATATGGAAAACACGCAGTGGAAAGATTTAAGTTGTTTTGGATTTTTTTTGGAGAGAAAATAAGAAGTTATAAGCTTCTGTGGTGGTTTGCATGAGAATGATCCCACAGGCTCATATCACCCTGATAAATGCTTAGTCACCAGCAGGGGTACTATTTGAAAAGATCAGAAGGATTAGGAGGTAGAGCCTTAATGGAGTAGGTGTGGCCTTGCTGAAAGAAGTGTGTCACTGGGGGTGGGATCTGAGGTTTCAAAAAGCCCACACCAGGCCCAGTGTCTCCCCACTCACCCTCTCGCCCTGCCTATGAAGCAGGTACTGTTGGTGTTATTCCCTGCCATGAGGATAACACATATGTCGGAAACCACAAGCAAGTCTCAAATCAAATGATTTTGTTTAGAAGAGCTGTCTTGGCCGTGGTGTATCTTCACAGCAGTAGGGACAGTGACTAAAACAGCTTCTAATTTTATGAGTAAGGGAACTTGACTCCTCTTGTAAAATTAATATGCATTACTACTTTTTTAATTAGAAAGAACTTAAAGCTTTGAAAATTCTACATCTAGAGAAATTACTTTCAGTTTCTCATCTATAAATACCTTTTTTATCTAAAAAAGTAAGCAGAAGGTTTGGAAGTAGCAATATGCCTCCGAGGGTAACAGTGCTTGCCTCAGGCTAACAACCAAAATTTGATCCCTAGAACCTGAGAAAAGGAGGAATCAGAACAGACTACACAAATCTTCCTTCTGATTTCTACACACGTATAGCAGCTTGAGTGCCCTCCTCCTCATAAACACACAGATATAATATTAGTAAAATTTAAAAAGGCAGGAAATCTGTGAGGTGTTCTGTGAATCTACGTACCAAACACTTGGCAAGTCTAGTGGTCCCAATTAAAAGAGTCAGGAACATCTATGCAGCAATAAGCAGCTGCCAAGTCTCAAGAATCTGAGCCATGAAAACAGTATCTCAAGGTTCACCACGTGACTATCCCCTACGGTTGTTCCCTCCTGGTGAGAGTGATGAACGCAGCATCATTATTACACTTATGCAATGTGGCTAGTGTTGAGCTGAAGGCTATGAATCACTTCCACCACCCTCAGTGAGCTCAGAGTGAAGCTTGAAACCCAGAACACCCACAGACACACTGATGCCTCTGATGTGTCAGTAAAGGACTGTCACTGATCAGCAAAAGCACTCCATTTAATTAGGACATGTACGCGCTCTTATCTTTCCCTAGGTGTGCACTGGTGGTGCCACAGTAAATGGTATCATACCACGAATAATAAAAACCAAAGACAGATAAAGGAGTTAAAGCTGAAAATCAGAGAAATAGAGCAGTAAGCCACAGAGACACCTTTTACCTCAGACTACCAATGCTCAGACTAAAGGGGAGATCCCCAGATGGCCTAGATTGTACTGTATTCTTCACCAAATCTCAGACTCCATACTCCAGTGAGTTCCTGTTTCTCTCTATATATAGTTCTCTGTCTAGCCAAATTGCTCCTATCTCTATCTCCCTAATGTTGGGATTAAATGCGTGTGACCCCAAACACTGGAATTAAAGGTGTGAGGCACCACCACCTGGATATGTTTCTGGATCTATCTTGTGTATCCCAGGGTAACTTTTAACTCACAGAGCTCCGTCTGCCTCTGTCTCCCTAGTCCAGAGATTAAAGGTATGTGCCACCACTGCTTGGCTTCTAGTGCCTTAGTTTTGCACTCTCATCTTCAGAGTCAATTTATTTATTAAAATACAAGTAAAATGTCACTACTTTGCCCCTTCTTTGCCTAAAATAAAAAGATGGCTATAATTAATATAAGAAAAAACTGTATCTTATACACTTTACACCTCTTTAGTGAGTTTCTTTTCTGCCTCAGGTAAAGAAGGAAAACTATAAGTATCTAGTCTTCAACTCCCTCAGAGACCCAAGAAGGACATAATATTAACCGAGTAAGCAGGAAGTACAAGCAAGAAACTTCCAAAAAATATGAGAAATGACAAAAACAGCTGGTTGCCTGGACTGTCACCCAAAGCTCCTCTGCAATGTTGGGGTATCCATCTTCAGTCAAAAGGCCTAAAATATTCCACAGACTTTCCTAAGAAATAGGAAAGGACCTACCTGCCTTGTCTTGATAATATCTGGCACTCACGCTCTTTGTATCCTGCTTGCCCAATTAGGACAGCATACTGCCAGTGGAGGCAACGGTACTTTCTTGCCCAGTGGTTTACTTTTGCACCAAAGAAACTAACCTCTATGTAGAGGTTCTTTGATGTCCATTATCTTCTCTGAATTAGATTGGTGTGCGAAGAGCAGACATGTCTCATTGTCATAAAAAAAGAACCTATGTTATTACAACATCTTAAATGCCATATTCTGTAGATCTCTGAAGTATTTGAAGATGACCTGTCTATTTAAAACATATCTCTATTTGACATTGAAAACATAACTAATGTGACACAAGCTTGATTGTAATAGGTAACTAATTACCAATCTGCATTTCTTTAGTATCCTAAAGAGTTGATAATATCTTTCAATAACTAGAAATTTGCATTATACTGATAAATGAGCTGTATAGGCACAATACCTTGAACAAGATTAAAAATGTGTGTACAGTATGTTTTAACAAAATTAGTCTCAAATTTCTATCAACATACAAAACTTGTATAAAATATACAAAAGTCCAATACAATGTAAAATATTTAAATCTTGTGGTTTTTTAAAAGTAGATTTAAAAATTGACTCTTTTATCATATCATATCATACCTATATTCTCCCTTTTTTCTCTTCAGAATAGATACAATAGCCTACCCTTTTATTCTATCATAGATATGTATGCCCTTTTTTTCTTTTGAAAACAAGAGCTCTGAATCTAATCTCCTTTGTTTAACTTTCCTTCTAAACATAACACATACCAAATTCTAAACAATGACAAATATCTATAACCCATTGAAGGACTAAAAACCACGCACCCCACCCCATGAGAATGTGGTCATCGTATTCTAAAATTTACATCCTGATATCTGGGTGTGACAGCATCGTTAAACGATCCTGAAAAGAAAAATTGGGGTTAATTGTCAAGTCCTGGGAGAGGCAGCTGTATTATTTGTTATCTAGTCTCTGTGTAATGAGAAAGTGCAGGGCTTGTCTCCTGTCCTGGCTAGAGTAGTCTGTTAGACTGGATCATCTCAGCTACCTACCTCAAAATTATTCTGAGCAATTTATAAACCAAAGTCAATGTTCTTCAGCTTAGTGGTGCTATATAGTCCCGAAGGAATCATCATTGTGGGGCCCCATCCTCCTTTTGGATACTTCAAAAGTCGTTGTTAGACATGTGTATGGTTCATTGCAGAAAACTGAGACTCAAATACAAAATCATGTACGGTAAAGAAGATAAAACATTTTTCTAGAATTAGTACTCTATATGACCACTAGTATGACAAAAGTTTAAAATATAGATATACCCCCACACACCTCTGTGTGTGTGTATCTTATAAAATTTATACCTTAAGAAAAGCTGTTGAAGAGCCAAAATAAAACCAAAGGATTGTGAGATTAGTGGCAATAAAGTAGTCCACAAATTTTCTTCTGTTCCATTATCAGGTGGCTCTTCTGACATGGGAGACGGATTTGGGATTTTACTTAATAAGCATGCTTCGGTTCAGAGAAGGAGAGAGCCACATTCCAACTCCAAAGCAGCTGTAATATTTAACTTGACTAGGACTACAATAAGATCATTAGGAGTAAATGTCTGTAGAGAATAACAGAAAGAAAGATTTGTAAAGATTTGTGAAATTTTATCCTGTTGTAAATATGATATACCAAAAGTCATTAATAGTCTGTAATCAATCTCTCCTAATGTGCCCTATTTTGCGAGCTAATTTTTGTATATTTATTTTATAACCTAAATAATAGAATCTCCTCTTTGTACTTTTTCAGGAACAATTTGCAATCCCCAACAAGGCAAAATTTTCTTTATTTCTTCAAGCATTCTTTCTGAAGTATCTACATTTGAATCAAATACTAAAATGTCATCCATGTAATGGTAAACTATAGATTCATGAAATTGTTTTTGTATCACTTCCAATGGTTAACTTACAAAATACTGACACAGGGAGGGGTTATTTAACATTCCCTGTGGGAGAACTTTCCATTCACATCTCTTACCAGGCTGAGAATTATGAGTAGGCACTGTGAACGCAAATTTTTCTTGTAAAGGTATAGTGAAGAAACAATCTTTTAAATCAGTAACTATAAGGTCATCCTTTAGGTAAGAGAAAAAACAAACAAATTCCAAACTGTAGAGAGTAAACTGGCTGAATTACCTTATTAACAGCTCTTAGATTTGTTACCATTCTCCATTTTCCAAATTTCTTTTTAACAACAAATACAAGAAAATTCCAAGAGTTGGTTGATGCTTCAATATACTGAGTATTTAGTTGTTCCTGTACCAGCTATTGTAAAGCCTGCAATCTCTCTGTTGTTAAAGGCCATTGTGCAACCCATGCAGGTTTGTCTGTCAACCATTTTAAAGTTTGGTGCCTTTCAGATATCAGCAGTTGTTGTGCTG